AAATTGTGCATGCTCCAGTAAGTAAGCCCACACCCACACTCATGCAAATGTCCCTGGCTAAACACAGTGTAACACACACATACTTGAACAAGCACTCAAGAGTGTTCGGTATATGCGCACACATGTGCACAGGCACAGGAACAGGCAAGTAGGAAGGAGAGTGGGAGGGAGATCAGAGGATAATGGGGTGAACTGAACAGATGGCTCAGCAGTTAGAGCACTTGCTGCTCTTGCAGGACATGGATTTGGTTCCGAATGTCCACAGGGCAGCTCACAACCATCTGTAACTACAGTTCCTGAAATCCAAAGCCCTCTTCTGGCTTCCATGGCCACTACATATATGTGTTGCACATACATAAACACAAGTAAAACATACTATACACATAAAGTTTTATTTTTTAAGTTATTATCATATGGTTTTGGCTTTTTGAGGCAGGTTTTCCTGGCTGTCCTGGATCTCACTCTGTAGACCAGGCTGGCTTCAAACTCAAAGATCCTCCTGCCTCTGCCTCCTGAGTACCAGGGTGAAAGGTGTGCGCCAGCACCACCTGGCCTAAAAAGAAATATTTTTTTAAAAAGGGGGCAATGAGCCAGGCATATTGCTGCATGCCTTTCATCCCAGCATTTGGGAGGCTGTGGCAGAGGGAGGCAGATCTCTGTGAGTTCAGGGCCAGCCTGGTCTACAGAGTGAGTCCAGGACAGCCAAGGCTACACAGAGAAGCCCTGTTTAAAACACAAAACAAAACAAAAGCCAAAGAGGGTATTAGGGTGCACATTATCAAAATACATCAAACACATGTACAAAATCATCCAAGAGCAAATAAAATTATGTTTTAAAGAAGAGTCAGCCTTTCTCCCGTAGACAGCAATGAGCTGGAGCCGAACTTTTTTTCCTCTACAGTGACTAAACCTCTTCCTGTTGTATGGAAAAAGTCTCCTCAGGACAGGGAGGTAAATCTCATCCCCCAAAACCGTCACCTCACAGACCCCAGGGACACCTTGCACACAGAGGGCGCGTCTACGCTGTCTCCAACGGAGAAAAGCAAGGTTTGGTTTGTTCTTAGCAGGGACAGATATGTGTACAGCCCTGTCATTTAATGATGGGGCACATTTTGACAAATGTGTCGCCGGGAGGTTTTAGCGTTGTGTGATTATGACATCACCAGGGGCGACAAGGTCTTATGGGGCGATAGAGGCGCATGCAGTCCATTGTTGGTTGAAACACTGTCATGGAATGCATGGCTTTATATGAACATGTGTGCGTAAATGTCACAAAGCCTACTATTCAGCCTAAAAATGGGCCCCACACTTGGCTCCTTTCCCATGATGCAACTGTGTGTGCCTCTCTAGACGGTTCTGAAAAAAGGCTTCCTCCTTAAATGTTCAAAACTCATTTGCTGAAAACTTCTAGGAAATGTTTTTTCTTTCAAGTAATGTTAGAAGTAGGGTTTACATTGCAGGCCTTAATACTAGCTAGTGTCTGGCCACAGGGTGAAACTCCACCCCTCTCTGGTTCCATGTGGACCGTCCGAGTCTTCCTAAGGGAAAGGAACAGAGCGCCGCCATATGCTGCTGTCAACCCTGCCCCCAGCATAGACAGAATCATCATCAGACAAACAGTGACAATCTGTGCTCATCAACATTGGAAGACTTTTTTTTCTTCTTCTTTTTTTCCAGGACCAGTTTGTGTAGCCCTGTCTGTCCTGGAACTCACTCGGTATATCAGACTAGCCTCAATCTCAGAGACCAGCTGCCTTCTGCCTCCCAAGTGCTGGAATGAAAGGTGTGTGTCACTATGCTGACCTGGCTTTGGAATACTTTTAAAATTTTTTTTTCGAGACAAGGCTTCTCTGTGTAGCCCTGGTTGTCCTGGAGCTCACTATGTAGACCAGGCTGGCCTCGAACTCAGAATCTGCTGCTTCCTAAGTTCTGGGATTAAAGGTGTCCGCCACCTCCTCCCGGCTATAAAATACTTTTTAAGGACAGGAACGTTTTTGTTTCTCTGTGATTCGGAGGATTGAGCCCAGAACCTCTAGCATGTCAGATGTGTGCTCTACCTCTAAACTACCTCAGTCAGCCTAGATAGGGCTTTAAAAAACTGTGTGTGGTGTTTTGCCTGAATTGTATGTCTGTGTACCACATGTGTGCCTGGTGCCCTCGGAGGCCAAAGAAGGGTATCTGATCCTCTGGAATTGGATTTACAGACAGTTGTGAAGCCTTCATGTGGTGTGGGGACTCAAACCTGGTTCCTCTAGAGAAGCAGCAACTGCACCTAACCACACTAAGCAATCACTCTGACCCAAAGACTGGGATTTCTTAAAGAGCAGGGTCTGACTTGCTTCAGACAATGCCTGAGAAGGTAATACGGGGAGAAAGGTCTTTAATGACTGCTCCGGGCTGGCAGGCTGATCTCAACACCTCACTCACAGATGTGTGCGCTGTAAACTCAGCCCATGCATACCTGCTCTTGGGACAGAAATGCAGACCACATGAAGCCAACCCTTTATGGCCGCTGGCCTTTTGCCTAGCCATGCCTGAAAGTTAGTGAGATAGTGGGGCGCTGAGGGATATCAAGCCCAGGCTTCCCGAGTCTGCCTCACTCGATGTCCTTCTATCCCAATGGCTATGGACGCTCAGTCAGCTCAACCGGGAGGTGGACTGGGCTCTGTTGGTCAGTTCTTGCAGCCAGACCTCCTGAGGGCAGGCTAGCTCTGAACTGAGGGTGGCTCCGGCTCCAGCAGGGATGCCTGGCTCTGGAGGCCTGTCACTTGGTCACTCCAAGAAGTCTACAGGGAATTCTGACTTCCAAATAGGCAAAGCCTCCAGGTAGGCTACTACTGTAAATTTTTTGTCCATTTTGGGAAGGATTTGGGTCCTCCCCAAATCCCACAGCCTGCCAAAAGCTGGCCTTTCTTAGCTTTTTTTTTTTTTTTTTTTTTAAACAGGGAAAATACAATTTAAAAATCAACCAGAAAAATCCCCCAAATCTAACAGAAGAAAATGTATGCTTAAAGGGAACTCAGGGCTTCTTCAATGACCTTATTTTCTTGTGAAAAACCTGAAGTCTACCCAAGTGGGTCCCCGCTCAGCCCAAGTGTGGCAGGGGCAGGGGCAGGGGCAGGGGCAGGGGCAGGGGCAGGCTGCGGACCCCAGGCTCTTCATGCTGGATGCACTCTCCAGGTTTCCCAGGTCACAGGCGAATGTGAAAGGAAACTCATGGTCCTCTGCTCCTAAGAACAGCAGGGAGGTGGGGGGAGGGGGGGGAGGAGCTGTGCATGTGTACAGAGATCAGCAAGACAAAACCAAGAGGGCTCATGTTCACTGGACAAGGGCACCATGTGACCAAAGGCACAGTTCTAGACCTTCCAACAGGGGCCCTGGTTGCACCCTGTTCAAACAGCCTGCCTACCAGCTAGAGCCGGCAGAGGCTGTGGGCCACTCCGCCAGCCCAGGACCTTTCTTTCATCCAGGTGGCTAGCCAGGCAGCAGGCCAAGGAGCCCTGTCGCCCCACCCCCAGGCACACACGACAAACTTGGGCTGCTCTCCCTGGGGAGAAGTTGAGGTTATGGCCTCCTGTGTACTCTGCAGTGACTCATCCCCAGCCTGGCAGGCAGAGGGACAAGGAGGGCTACTGAGAAGCTGACCCAGCAGATGGCAGCTGGACCCGAGCACAGCCCAGGGGACACGGGCTGACCCTCACCCTCCCAGAGGCAGGCAGTTACAGCGTGCAGCAGCAGCTTCTCCTGCGCCATGACTCAGCCTCGAGGTTCGCTGGCCTGATTGATGGCAGCTCTCCCACGAACATGGGCCTTCTTCCTCTCTCCCTCCCCCTTCTGTGTGGGTCTGGTCCATAAAACCCAGTTCAGTTCCAATCCTGGGACTGTTACTAGGTGCTCTTCCCAGCCCTGGGCTTTGGGTGCTGCCTCCTCCCCACCTCCCAGGCCTGAAGCTTGTCCTTTCTCTCTCTCTCCTGCAGTGCGTAGGGAGTTGGGACTAAATGAGGTCAAGACTCTCCTTCATCCCTCAACCCAACCCCCTCCTCAGCTCCACCTCAGCCTCCAATGCGTGCAGCAGCCTGCTGTCTTCACTGTATGGAAGCCAAGGATGACAGCAAAGGCAAGAGCCACACCCAGGCCCACACAGAGAAAAGGCAGGGGTTCATGCAGCGCTCTTTCTGGCCTGATGTGGACACCCAACCTGATTTCCTTTTGCTGGAAATGGCTCCGCAGGAGTCTAGGGGTAGAGGTGCGGGGGTGCTGCCCGATCGACTATAAGCTGAGTCTCTAAGAGCAGTTCTTGGTTTGGGTGGGCTCAAGGAGGTCTGCGCGCCACAGGAGCAAGAAGCACGTTGTATTTTCCGGGGAAGGGGTCACGGTGCTCGCTCCGGTGTCCAAGTGTATGTCATGGCATAGGCGGGTGCTCCAGTCTCCAGGTCAGAGCCAGGGCTCCATGCCTGATTCTGCCTTTGCATTCCCTGCCCCAATGAGCTCTGCAACGCAGGAGTTTCCAACCAGAGTGATGTCTTCTTAAATCCACTCATCCTAGATATGCTGAACCTAGACACTGATACTGAAGAATATGCTTTTCTTAGTGCTGGAGACTCTCACATCTTACATTCTAATACCTCTTCAAGAAAACATTTTTGGGGGCTGCCAAGCCTGAGAACTTGAGTTTGACCCCTGGGACACAGACTGGAGAAAGAGAAGCAAAATTCGGAAGTTATCCTCTGACCTCAACATGTGCACCGTGGCATGAGGGCACACACACACTCAATAGAAATGAACGTAAGAAGAGAATCATTTTATTCTGAGATATGGTCAAGGGTCTTGACTCTGCAGTCCTCCTCTCTTCGCCTCCTGAGCAGCAGCTACCACACACCATCCAGGCCTGGCTACAGTCTGAACCTTTTAACAGAAAATGGCTTAATTTCATCTGCAGGCACGTGGGGGTGCTGTGGAGGTCAGGAGAGGCGGCAGGATCTGCCTCTGGCGTCACAGGTTGTTGTGAGCCACCTGACATGGGAGCTGAGAACCAAAGTCGGGGCCTCCAAAGAACAGCAAACGCCCTCAGCTACTGAGCCACCTCTCCTGTCCCAGGATCTGTACTTCCATTTTAATTTTATATGTATGAGTGTCTTGCCTCCATGTACGTCAGTGCATCTCTTGGTGCCTGTGGAGGCCTGAAGAGGGCATCAAATTCCCTCAACTAGAGTCACAGATGGTTGTGAGCGGCCATCAAGTCTGTTCTCTACAAGAGCAGCTCGTGCTCTTTAGCTGCTAAGCCACCTCTCTAGCCTCCTAGGATCCGTACCCTGACAAGGCTTTTGGGGCTAGGTCTGCCATCTGACCCTCCTCTGTACTAACGGTTGCCACCAGGAGCACAGGAAATAGTCACAATGGAGTAAGATATAAACACAGCTCCTCTGGTGCACTAGCTACCACACAGGAGGGCTGGGTGGAAGTCACTGCTGTCTCCAGGACTCTGGGGCAGAAGTAAGATTTAGGTTAAATGAGTCTTCCATTCATTGAAAGGCACCACAGTAACATTTTAAATGTTGGCCTTCAGAGAGAATAAACTTTCTAAAATGTATTGTATTTCACTTCCCTCTTTTAGCAAGTTCATTTACCCTGAGAACACCAGGCTGGGAACCAGAAGCTATGGCTTCTAGCTTTATTTAAAAAAAAAAAAAAAAAGAAAGAAAGCAGTAGGGCCATTTTTGTCACATGAAATCATACCTCATTACTATATAAAAGCTAGAAGCATTCAACCTCAAGTAACTCCTATCAGAAACAGCTGTCCTGGCTAATGGAGGTGGGCAAGAGATCCCCCTCCCCCAGCCTTTTTCCCTCCACCCTAGACCTCTGCAGAACCTCAGGTCGACAAGAAAACAGTTAGGAAACCAAAGGCCTCTGAGATTCTTCCTCGTTCCCAAAACACACTGGTCAGGATTAATTAAGGGCTAGATGACTCCAATTTAGAAAAACAATGGCTAATATTTGCTCTCAGTATTATTTAACCTCCTTTTCTGTTGTAAAAATGAGGAGTTCCCAGCATGCCTAGGAGAGTACACAGCTAGAGGTGTGGTGGACTTGGTCCCTGCCTCTGGAGCCTGCGTTAACCTTCAGCAGTTTCTCCCACTTCTCTCAGGAAGTTAGAGTCCCCACCTCTTCAGGAATCTTCTGAGCAGAGGGAGGTAGAGAACTGAGAGCCAGCCTGGCCAACAGAAGATGCCATGTGCATGTTGGTCCCTTTGCCCTTTCCTAGGCTGTGACTACTGAGTTACTGGGACCTCTGGGTCTGTTTCACGTGAACGAGGTGTCCACAGCTTCACCTAAGGCATTCCATACCCACTTCACCCTCCTCAAAAAGGAAATCAAAGCCTCTTTCAGGCCGTCTCAGAAACGTCCACCTAAGGGCCAGAGCAAATCTCGCTCAAACGATTTCATCTGGAAATAAGAACTTGTCCTTCTCTGAATGCCCAGAGGGATAAATAGCAGAAGTAGAATGACTCAACTTCCTTAATAAGATATTGGTTGAAACCAATGTCGTCCTGATGCTTCCTCTTTTCTGCTTATAGTTGGCCTAGCCATCAGGCCACCCTGGCTAAGCGTCAGCCTAACAGAAAGGAGGGATGGTGAGGCAAGGGAGAACCTGGGGCGAGAGGCAGCTGCCCTTGCAAACAGCTATTTGGCCGGTTGTGCTCCCAGGCCCCCAGGCCTGCTGCATCCTGGCTCCCCTTTCTGCCATTTGCCTCCCCCTGCCCTGCCCTGGCACCTATCCAGCCAGAATGCCCGCTTTACTCTGTGGAGTTGGGTAGCCATGGACAAACTTGATTCCCCTCCTTCACTCCTCCTGTCCCCTTCTCTGTGGGGCACTACCCAGATCTGCCTTATCCTCTTCTCCTTGGGGGAAGCCATTTCCACTGGCCTCCTTCAGCAAGCGTCCACTGGGCGTAAGGGGATACAGTAGTTGATATGCTCACACGTATCTGTGCGTGGGCACCGTGCTGGGTGCCTTTTCTGTGTTGTCCACGCCCCTGACAGTTACTGCAACGCTGCTGTCCTTATTCCCATTGGGCAGATGGAGGAGTGAAGGCTGAGGGGTAGGTCAGCTGCTGGAGCCACTGAGGCTCAGCGTAGACAACCAGAAAGCCTGGCGTGGGCCTAGGCCTCAAACAGCAACACTTTCAGCCCATTCCTGACGCGTTCAAGGATCACCTGCTCTCATTAAACCCCGGACCTGAGCGGTATCACTAGCCACGGGACCAGCACTATTTCCATTTCTCAACCCTTGTAGGCGGGAAGCCCAAGAATTAAGAACAGACGTGAGAGGGTCTCCCGCTCTGGCAGGGACTGCTGAATCAACAGTAAAAAGGTCAGTGCTTTAACCCAGTCACACCACTCCATGCTGCTGGGTGCTATAATTTTTAAGTTGATGATTTTTAATAAATCCTTTCCTTTTTCTTTTAAAGATGTTTAAAATCAAAGCACAACATGTATGGACATAAACAAGAACTTCCGGTTAACACACCACTGTGTTCACTGAAAGAACCACAGAAGGACACGCTATGGGAAGAAGAAAAGTAAACCAGAAAAGAGGGACATGGGATGTAAGGAATAACGGTAGTCACAGGAACGAATGTAATACGTTGGTCAACTTAATTAACAATCGAGTGTGAAAAAAAAAAAAAACGGCCCAAGGGGCTGTGTAGAGATGGCTCAGTGGTTAAAAGCACTGTTTACTCTTGCAGAAGACCTGGGTTCAGTTCCCAGCACCCACAAGGTGGTTCAAAACCATCTGTAACATCACTTCCAAGGGATGCGGTGCCCTCCTCTCATATCCGTGGGCACTAAGGACATGGGAAGTACACAGACAGGCATACAGCCCAAACACTCAAAGACACAAAGTAAAATAAACCGAAAGTGGAAGAATAATAAAAATCCAATCTTTGTGGGAAATTTACATGTGAAAATGTGTAAATTTCATTAAAAACACAGTTATGTAGTACATTAAAGTTTAATAACTTCCGTAAGAACAGATATACCAGCTGTGGTGGTGATGGTACACACCTTTAGACCCAGCACTTGGGAGGCACAGGCAGGTGGATCTCTGGAGTTCAAGGTCGGCCTGGTCTACAGAGGGTTCTAGGATAGCCAGGGCCACATAGAGAGACTTGGTGTCCAAAGTCAATCAATCAGTACATGCATATATATATAAACAAACCAATCCACCCCCCCCCCCGAAACAAAACCAACCAACTAAACAGACAAACACAAAAACTCCCAAATCATGTGGTTTCATTTCAGCAGATTTGGAGCTCAGAGCACATAGGCAGGGCAGTCCTCATAAGCCCTGATAATGAGTTTGAGAGCCAGAGATTGGAGGCAGAGCAGGTTTCTGGTGAATAAGATCTCTGTCCTCTTTTGGAGCCATGAAGGCCTTGGACACACATAGGAAGCTGGCTAAGGCAGGCTCTGCCTTGGGTGCCGAGATGACACCGAGGAAGACGATGCAGTCCTTGGAGGGGCTCACGGTACGCTGGTGCAAGGACAGGAAGTCAGAAAAGGACATACAATATAGCAGTCCAAGGACAGGGACAAGTGGAGGGATGCCGTGGGGTACACTGGGAGAGACAGGGTGGCTGAGGCACTTAGGAGAGGCTTCCTCCAGGTGATGCCTGAGTCTCCAGGTGAACCAGAAGTGCTCAAGGGAAAGGAGAGGTGAGGGGTTGGGGAGGTGTCAGCACAGCCAG